CTATTCACGAGTCCATGTCTCTTCCGGCACGCCAGAAGGCATCTTCACTCGTTTCGGCTATTTGCTCCATCAATTGGGATAGTTGCGGTAATACACTAATACCTTATTACATACGCCATATATATAGGTGGAACAAACCTAGCTAAAGACGTGCATCACAGCACAACTGTGTAGTCTCTCTTTGTACATCTGCCAATTCTGCCAATTTAAGATAGATAGTCTAAATAACTCGTTAAAGTTGCATCTAAATTAGCACTCCTTGACATTTTATTAAAAATAATCTAGAAGATCCCATAAAATATGTGTATAAAGTGCCAACATATGTAATAATGAAAAAAGTTTGAATAACCATAAATTGTGTCTATACATGTTTATAAATTACCTACTTCTATCACTACTAATATATAAAAGATAACTTAAAATAAACCTACATGTTATATATGCATTCTTCCAAATCAAGTATATATGCATGCATGAGAGATAAGTATTATATTTCTAGGATCCGAAAAAAGGAAAATGTTCCTTTAATGATTCATATAATGATGTCACTAGCAAATCATTTAAAAATATAGCAATACCATAAAGATTATTATTATTATTATTATTATTATTATTATTATTATATAAGTTTGCACTTTAAATTTTTTTATAGATTGTGGCTACAATATTATATCATATCTATATTGATAGTATAGTTGTAAGCGCTCTATTACTATAAAGAATTACTACTACATATATAATTCTTGGATAAAGCGCTTCTTGTAGCCTAGACATAAAAAACATTATTTTTAATAAAAGGCGTTAATAAGGACAATAGTTTCAACTAACATGCAGATAAAAATTTATAGCAGTTAATAAGATCAAAATTTGAAAATCAAGATCTATAACCACATCCATGACATCGCGAGACATGGGTTGCAACAAGAGCCACCATAATAATAACAACTTAAAATAAGATTCAACTAGATGCACACTGAAGACCATGAACCGCCATGCAGAGAGAAAATCTATGGACCAGGTTTTGAAGAAACATATATATACATAGAGTAATTAACAAGTTCATCACAGCCAGATATAGAGTACATAATCTATATCGAAATTGTGTCAGATAATGAAGAAAAAAGAGATAGCGTAAGTACTAAACATGAACTTCTAATATATCTATGCCACCTATGATTCTAGTCAGAAACATGAGTTTGACAGGGCTAATGTTCCTCAAATTCAATTTGGCACGCACCCTTTTGCAAGTTGCTGATGGGAATATCTCATATCTGCATGGCTAGACTAGACATTGTAAATAAATAAGCAGTAGCATAGACCGGTTGAAATGTAGTTGTCAGAAAAGGAGTTGTTCTCTTGACTACACCACCATGCATAGTGTGTGAATTGTGGTGGGTATTTAGTCCACCGATCAAATCAGCCATTGAAATGGAGAATCAGAAAAATGCTTGTATATATCCAAATTGTTCTCTGTCAACGTGCCTTTTCAAGAGCAAACAAGCAAGCAATGCTAGATCTGTTGGTCGAGGAGTTAACGGAGTGTCAAGTCTTGGTGGCCTCGATGACTAACCATTCATGTTACTTCAAGTTCATTAAACTAAAGCCTCCTGTTTCTGACAGATGTTTCGATGGCAAGTTGGCAACTAGTAGAAGGCTACGAGAAGCTGGAATAATGCATCACGCGGGCACTCATGAAGGTGACATGACATCCCAGGATGGAGCTGCAATCCTGCATGCACTACACCCACCCAACTAAAGGGAACCACCGCCAGGAAAAAATCTATCAAGCACACTATATATATTTATATATATATCACGCGCGGTATCTTGGGCTTTAACGCTTGCACGGGTAATTATAAATCCAAGTGATTGGCTGTGTTGGTAGCCATGCATCTAGCTATCTCTAATGCCCAGAATGCAGAGCGTGCTTGGGGAGCATAATGACATGTTAACACGCCCAGTTAACTACTTATTTGGGCATGAAACAATGGAGGCATGTATCTACAATATGTGCTATATATATAAGAAATAAATAGATGCTTCACGTGGATCCTCTATGTTGGCACTCTTTCTGGTTACAAATAAGTGATGCTTTAAGCTAGGTTGTGTCAAGTTAGCCGTCACACACTTTTGCTGTGACCTTTTGTCTTAATATATTCTATAGAACATATAGGACATAAATACCTGCTCCCCTAGGTTGTTGGTGTATATATAACAAATGTTTTTGAGGTTCCAATTTGAAATAGTCCTAATGAGATTGTTAAAAATGATATTGATTGAGTTTGTTTGTAGTAAGTAATTAATCATATACTATTACTAACTGGAGGTCCTAATGGAGCCTCCACGTTACCATGAGACATGTTAGGAAACATATAAATTCTCAAGACAGAACCAAATATATGGCCATTAATTTGGTAGAGTCTAGTCACCAATGACAATAATAACCAGTTTTCTAAAAGTCTACCCACATATGCCATTACGAAGAACAACATAAATAACCCCCAAATATGTATTTAAATAATCCCCATGTGTCATTATAAAACATAATCTATTGTAACCATACAAATTTTCATCTAAATTACCCACCCTACAATTGGGATAGATAATACAAATAACCCCTTAAATTTGCATCTAAACTACCCCTTTTGTCATTATGGAAATAAACTGAAACATCCGCAAAAACCTGCATATGAATTGGCAACATACTCCCTCTGTCCCTAAATGTGTGTCGCCACGCGTGCTGATAAGTTTGACTCGATTTATAAAAAATGCGTGCAACATTTGTGTCTCCAAATAAATTTGTTAAAAAACTAGATTCAAATATCTATCAATGATACTAATTATGTACCATAAATATTAATATTTTTTAATACATATTTTGTCAAAGTTGTTTCTTGGAAGCGAAAACGACAAACATTTAAGGACGGAGGGAGTATGTTATTATAAAAATGTGTGAATAAATATAAATTACACATGTATATGTTTCTAAATTACCCACTTTGATTACTATAAACATATAAAAACTAACTTAAAGTAAATATATATGTTGAGCAATCGTATCGATCAAGTATATTTATATGCATGCATAAGCTAATAACAAATTAATGTAAGTTGTTACTGTAGATAAATTTATGTATTTTAATAAAATATTATGACATATCTATATTGATGCTATAATTGTAAACGTCTAATTTTTTGCAGAAAATTTTGCTACACATATAATTGTTTGATAATAAGAGAAAATTCAACATGTTAAGTAGCAGAGGAGTTTAGTGTAGACCAACGATGGTTATGACCTCCTTTGTTTTTAGATTCATTTGGAGTGAACAATGTTTAAGATTAAAAATTGTAGCAACTAAGAAGATAACAATATATAAGACAAATTCTAGATTCATAACATCATGAGAGACATGAGAAGCAAAAGAGCGAACATAACTTAAGGTAAGCTTTTAACAAAAATGCATTGAAGACACACAGGGTGCCATACACATAGGAAGAAAGAAAGAAAAGCATTAGTATATAAATCAGTGTTCGCCTAAATGGCCGATTAAAAGACTACTAAACGGTAAACGGTGGTAAACTATTTTATTTATGGGATAAACGGAAATTAAACGATTGACTGTTTAGACGGTCAAAAAATGGGAAAAACGGTCTAAACGGCCTAAACGGAACGGAGATAAAGGTCCCGTTCGCATGACTGAAATTGACTGAAAAAACAAGCCAAAGCTGAAATGTTGTGAGAAAAAACAATGTTCCGGCTGAAAAAAGAAACCGATTAAGCCGGCTTTTAAGGTAAGTCGAACGGGGCCAAACTGTATTAAACGGGCTAAACAGTTGTTTAAACGACTGTTTAGGCGAACGCAAGGTAAATCTAGTTCAGTTTTGTATGGATAAATTTGTATACTTAAGTTTATTATATTTATAAATGTGTACACTTGATATGTTACATGCATAAATATCTATATTTGGTTCTTTTTACATGCATAAATATATATACATACCAAAATAATTGATTTTTACTCGGATAAATATGTATAAATGCTAGAATACTTGATTTTTTACATGCACATATATAATTAGATGTATTTTTTTAAAAGTACAAAACCGTTTAGACTGTTTAACTTCGTTTAAACACCGTGTAAACAGCCTAAACGCTAAACGAAGGACGACCGTGTAGAGACCGTTTATCGTTTAGAAAAACATTGATATAAATAGAGAAAAAACATATAAACTAATTGGTAAGTTTATCACAACTGAATAGAGATCACAAAGTACTCCTATCTATACATCTATTATTGTGTCAAATAGAGGTACCATTTCCCTAGATAAAAATACTTATCTTTCCATCCTATAAGAAGCTTCCTTGATCACGGGGATACTCCATCTACCCAAGAAAACATACAACTATGAGTTACGTGTCAGATAAAGTTGTTCATGTTTAACTAAGTTTTCAGTGAATAATATTTATATTTATGACTCTAAATTAATTTATTATGAAAATATATTTCGTAATTAATCTAATAATAATTATTTGATATTATAAATATTTATAGTTTTTTATCTATAATTGATCAAACATGATACCCTAAAATATGGTACTGTGTTAGAATTGCATGTTTTTCTGGAAAGAGAGAGCATATAGCAGCACTCAAGACAGGGGATAGGGCGGCATGGGAATCTTTGATCCTGCAGCCTGCAGGCGCATGCACCCAAGAGTCAACACAAGACACAAGCGTAAAGGTGCTGCTATGCCACGCAGCTACACACTCACACCGTCACAACCAACTAAACCACCAAAAATTCCATTGCAACTAGCACGTCGTACTGTACGTACTGTACAGCACTACAGTCTACAGTAGCGGTGGCGCGTACATGACCTGGTCACGACCCACGATTATAAAACGACGAGGGGATCGATGCGCCGCGCCAGCCATTGACGCTTTCGAGATCGATAAATGACGGCGGCGGCCTTCCCCGACCGATCCAGCACCACAACCAGCATGATGGCGATATCGGCGAGCCGGATCCACCCGTCCTCGGCCACGGAGATGACGACGACGCCGACGCGGCCTCTGCTGCCGCCGCCGCCGCTTGTTCCTCCACGCCGCGGCGGCGCCGGCGGAGGAGACGGCGCCGACGCCGATGCCGGCCGCACGCCGGCGGCGCTGCACCACACGGTGTGGAAGCGGTCCAGCATGGGGTTCCACGGCACCGACGGCTTCTCCGTCTACGATGCCGCCGGCGCGCTCGCCTTCCGCGTCGACAACTACTCGCGCCGACGGAAGGTGTTCGCCGGCGAGCTAATCGTCATGGACGGCCAAGGCGCGCCCCTCCTCGCTCTCAGGCCGCAGGTACGTCCGTCCGTGTCATCGTCTCCAAAATTTCATTTTGAGTAAACCTACGTGATCGATCCAGCTGCAAGTCGCATCGATCGACCGACCCATCGGTCATCGTGCCCTCGCAACAAAATACGGTCTTTTTCAGATCGGGAAATGGTGCTTCCTACTCTGCAGGATTCTTGATTATTATGCTAGAGTTGATTCATGATCTCTGCAACTCCAAGCACAACTTTTTTCCTTTTTCATTCAAAGAATAATCCTGTCGCCACCTCGGCTGTATGTACGTCCTGGTTGTTATAGCCTATTTGTCCTAGACTCCTAGTACCAGACTACCAGTACTGCAAACATTTGGTGGCTCTCCATGAGATTCAGACCAAATGAATGCGACAATTCGTTACAGCAAATTCAGTCAGTTCACTCCTTTAAGATAAATGCACACCTAGGAAAATACGAACCAAACAAATGTCCTTTTTTTTTTCAAAACAAATTACATACCAAATGTGTGCTCAGACAGAAGTCACAGAACAGAAAAAATGCTAGCTTTGTATTCTTCCCTGTATGTATATATCATGTCAAACTAAACTCGATCGGTTACTTCGTTCAAAGTTCTTCGCCATATACAGTCTGAGCGAAATTAAAGCCAAATCCAATGTGTCTGCAAATTCACTACAACTAATGGGAGGAAAGGCTAACTAACAAAGCTATATATATCCTTTTTTTGCAACAGATTTTCAGCATGCACGACCAATGGAACTGCTACAACGCATCAGAAGAAGGCCAAGGCAAGAGGCCAAGTTCACACAGACTCTTCTTGATGAGGAAATGCTCGGTTCTACAGAAAGGCCATCAAGCAGAAGTGTCCATGTCAGGATCATGCAGCACCAGCTTCTGGGTCGAGGGCTGCTTCAGGAGGAGAAGCTGCAAGATCCGCAACAGCGACGGCGAGGAGGTGGCCAGGATAACGAGGAAGAAGTCGAATTCGTTGACGCTTGGCGACGACGTGTTCAGCCTTGTCGTCCAGCCGGGCATGGATTGCGCCATGATCATGGCGTTCGTCGTCGTCCTGGACCGGATCTGTTGGAAGCCGTACAAACCCTTGATCTGCTCCTAGCCGTAGCTTAGCTTGGCCATGAGAAGCTAGCCATTTTGTGAGTTCTGACAACAACTATTGAGTTCTTATTCAGGGATGATCATGATCACTGAAGCAAAGAGAGCGCAGTGATTTCGTAAAGAAAGATGGGTAGGAAAAAAAATTACAGCCGTAAATTGGCTACGACCGACTGGGACCTAATAACTTGTCAAATTTCTCTGGATATAACTTGTAGGCAGAGATTATTCTAGTTTTCTGAAGAACAAACGCAAATGTATGAGGTGCAGTTACTTATAACCAATTGTATTCTCATACCACGGATTTGTAGCAGTATATGCTACTGGTTTGTCCTTTCAAAAAAAGTATAAGTGCGTTTCCACCTGGCTAGAAGAAGCATTGGAGATGAAAAAGTGAAAAGTGACAGATGCTTGTCGAATCCTGAAAGGAAATCTGCTCATGGAGCGAACTTTTTTTTATTCCTCAGATCCAGAGTACAAGTTACAGTATCTGAACGCACAGCACACATAACCCATGCACATCACACACACCCTAAGGCGCACGCTAGACCCAAAGATTATACATCCATACGTCTACAAGAGCTTCACGAAGACTGAACCTCCGCTAGGGACGGGCGCCCCGCCTCCCATTGTGGCACACAGACGCCTAAGGGTCCACTGATTATTTTGGGGGAAAAACCCCGGTGAGGCATGTGAGTTCCATCTCAGGGATCGAACCCTCGAGCGGTTGCTCCACCACCGGGAGATTCAACCAACCGAGCTGACGCTGATCGGTCCTCCTCAAGGAGTGAACTTGACTCATCGGCTGGCTAACCAGGTGGTACTACTACTGCATAGTGCTTAAAAAGTTAGTGTTCACACTGAAGGCCAAACACAACTAGTAGAGTACTCCCCTTATTAATTAACACTCATGGCTGCTATTTCATCTCTTAAGATCTCCTGCATTAATTCCTCATAAAAATATAGTAAGATTCACAAGACATTTGGCATATATTTCCTGGGAGAGTATATAATATTCAGCGCACGAGAGGACCTTTTCTGTACCAAAAACAACAGAAGCATCCAGAAGGAGGGACAAGGTGTAGGGAATATTGCTACAACTCATCGCTTGTATCTTGTACTCACCAAGAGTCTTTAAATATTTTAGTTTACTCTTTTCCATGTCGGCTGTATTTATAACTGCAAAAACTAAGCATCATGTTGCTAAAGAATCTTTGTCCGACAAATCCTCTGGAATGGCAAGAATATCAGCACAAACTTAGTCGCTTAAAAGGAATCAAACTTTGATTAGCTCAATGAGAAAAAGAGCAAGAACTTAACAGGTAGGATAAAAAACTTAAGTCGAGTAGTAGACCAGTAGTTGAGACTTTCTCATCACCAGAAAACCCATGAAAAATCTTCTGCCAAAAATAGAAATGGCACGAAGGTTTTGTGGACGTATAGGCTTCGCGCTGAACCCCGTTACCAAATCTTTCCAAGTAAGACGCCAATATCACAACATATGCCCTGCAATATTAGGTTACAAAGGTTGGTCCCATTGAGACATTGAGCCTGAGGAAACCACAAATGCAGCTTTGTGGCCGTGACTCGTGAGATGACCTGAACTTAGGAGTTGCACTCGTCAAATGCGTCATCAAGTACGGCTTCTAGTCAGCAAGCATGTCCTAAACCACTTTTTGCCCAACGCCAACTTTTGCATACGTGTAGACGCACTCAACTTGCTTGCTAGCTGTGCTCAAGCCAGTCCTGCATGCATTCCCTTGACAATGAGCATGACTCGCTGATGTATGCATATCTGCTTGCAATTGGCTGATCTGTTCTTATTTTTTGGGATAGGTACGGGCTCCCCTATTTTATTTTCCAAGACAACAATCTCATGCATAATTAAGAAAAAAGAGGCCCAACCTAGAGGAGTAACGACTAGGAGAGTTTTCTTTTTCATTAAGAAGAAAATATACATCAATATTTGAGTTGAAGATGACTTAAATTTAAATGGTTGAGATGCTTGACTACACCTTCCACCCCAACCAGTTGAGTTAGACATAGACTCACTTCGCTCGACATAATTCAGGACACAACAGTAATGACAGTCTACCAAACTAAGTCTGATCAAACTAAAAGACTCGACCATTCGACAGCTACTGTTGTATCGATTGGCTGATCTGTTGATCAACGCCCCCAAGCTTAATTCAGTAATCAATTGGGCATAGGGTTTTTCTAAGACCTAATTGGCCATAGATTAATCCGTCCGTCCATTGTTATCATGCATGGCGTGGATCACTCCCTGGCCTCTGCTTCTTGCTGTTGCTTCGGGTAGGTATCAACTTATGTTATGAGCGGCATTGAAATGGATAGGCTGCAAACTAAATTCTGGTCGATGATCTTGTGGTCATCAGCCAGTATTCAAACAGATCCTCCTCGTTGTCGCTATCATGCACTCTCAGTCATTAAAACAAAATTCCATACGAGCAGGCCTCATGGTTTTCATGTAAGTTACTAATCTCCTGACTACTGCTACTAACACTTATTGCTAATAGCAATGTTTTTTTTATCATTGTTGTATGAAGCCTTGCTCAATTATTTAGGCATATAAATGATAAAAAGAGTAGATCCTATGGGAAGCAGCAATTTTATTATAAGATTTACACACATGCGTATAAGCTTTTAGCGATATATTCTTGCACTTGTGATTATGCACTCACTGGGGTGTGTAAGTGTTATGCATGCATAGTGCTCGTGTGTCACCACTCCAATGGGGGAAAATATAAAGAGGCAAAAACAGTCCATGCTGGTTTTGTTGCATCCACAAAATAATACACTCCATTTTAAATTGTAAGTTTAGATATACATCATGTTTAGATACATAGTAAAAGCTATGTATGCAGAAAACAAAAAATAACTTACAGTTTGGAATGGAGGAGGGAGTACAAGAGAAAACATATCAACAATGGCATATTATGTTTTATTAGGAATAACATATATATCATGTTACATTACACAAACATTGAGCTAATAACTTCGCTGCCTTAGTTACTTGCATAAGAACAAGTTTAAACGAAACCAGCAAGTTTTATACTGTTAATAGCCCTAATTTAATTTCCTAACCACTAATAATAATATAAGGTACACACCGATGAATGGACAAATAGTACTGATCGAACCACCATAAGCCAACAAAACACATTATTGAGTGATGTAAGCAGCAGTAAGATATATATAGTACACATCCAACTTGCAAGATCCATTATATTATCATCGAAACAAATAGCAACTTGCAAACTGGCATGCTAATTATTCGTCCTTAGAGCACACAATTCCTTCATTAGAGTCATAGTAATCACACAAATATATACCAAACCCACCACTAACACTACCGTCAATAGATTAAGGAGGTGATCATAAGTGTGTGAAAGCTTGGGTGGAAGGGTGGATATTTAGAAATATGGGAGCACACCTAATCTTGTCATTAACTGTTGTTACTTATTGGTGTCCGTGTTGTTTCTAGGCTAGCTCATGTGAGGTGTGTGCTTGATTCGAGACTAATCACGCTTAGTATTTTTCTTATTGATCTGATAGAATATGATAACATTAGGCATTGCTATAGGGAATGTCTTGTGTTAAGCTTGAAGGAAGATTCACGAGGTTGTTATGATTCTGTATGCGAGTTGCATTTTGTTTCTCAAGGGGTCGATGTCTTTTACCTGCTGCATGTTGGGTGCTGCGGTGCTGCCAATGCACTCATATTTTATTTGATTGGCACCAAAGTTTCAAAACAACTTCTAATTAATTTCTGGTACTAAAATTTGAGTCATTTTGAGATTTCTTGTTAGTATTTTCTTTTGAATTTTGATCATCAATATATAAATATAATTAGATAGATAACATAGAATAATGTAATATTGATGTCACCAGATGCATAATATAAAAATTAGTTTTATAACATATAATTGCTTTGTTTAAATATCATGTTTTCTAGAAAATACTAGCCAAACTTCAACTCATAGACTGTTTCAATATCCAAAATGACCTCTATATGGACAAAGTTATTGCTTTTTGGACGAATAATAGTAAGAATATACATTTTGTAGCCTCTTTATTTTGTGCTACAATTGAATAGAAAGCCAATTTCTCTGAGAGAAGAAAGAAATCTAAAATGAACTGGTTATATGATGCTTATCGAAGTTTGGTTGCTATCACAATCTCAGAATTTTGCACCCGATCAAAATCGATTTCTAGGACGGTTTCGAAACCGTTACTATGGTATTCATTATAAAAATGAGTCATTTATAAGGATAGTTTCAAAACCATCCCAAAAAATCGCTTTCCAGGGCTATGCCTATTTTTTTTTTCAAAAATCACAAAGGATATTAAACTATGCCAAAAAGAAATTTCTTTTGTCAGAGCGGTCACTGCATGGTCACATGTCACACGTCTGAGCATTTTTTCTCATGAATTCCACACACTACATTGTCAAGGATCTGAACCTTTTGCCTCGCGAGAGCCCCTACCACTATATCACACAGTCACTTATGACCAATTATAGAATGATATACTTTTGTATTAAGTCTTAGAAATCTTGTATTCCACATTTCAACCCCTAAAAGATCTCAAATAAATAAAAGTTATAACTATAATATTTTAGATCTTGTTGAGTACTACAACTTAGTTATAGGATGATTTTTCATCGGAGGTCGTTTGAGAAAAACTAAAAACTTGAATTTCAAATTTTGAGAACTTAAAATGTATATTTAGGTCTCTAAACGGATTGAAGTCACTATTAGACAAAATCTTTTGCGAGGCTGTAACACCCTAAAATTTGTATTGTTTTTAAATAGGAGAATTTAATTTAATTATATATTTTTGTGAGTATTTAAACTTAGAAAAATAATAATTTTTGTTAACTTAAAATTTATTGTAGGGTTCATCTACATGTTTATGCATTCATGCCGCTGCATACTATTTTGTATTGTGTGGATTGAAATCAAACTTTAAATTGATTTAAAT